CCTTGAACAAACTTTTTAAAACAACTGAGATAGCGCACACCTCTAAGTTGAAATAAACAAACGAAAAATCAGTCCTGGGATAAAACTGAAAAGAGATGTGGTTTCTCACAAGTGGTCTAAGATTTATATATATATATATATATATATATATATATATATATATATATATATATATATATATATATATATATATATATATATATATATATATAACGCCACACTAATTGTTATTCTCTTTATCTCTTCCTAAAACTGAAGTGTATTCCCATTAAAGAATTCTTCAAACTAATTATCTCGTAATTAATTGATAATTAAGTGACTAGTCTCTTAAGTTTATGTGCTTCATGTTGCTCTCATTTGCTGTGTTGCTTCAGGAGAATGAGTTGCATCAATCTAAATGTACTGCTGATACTCGAAGTTCCTCTGCCCTCCCTTTTCTATTTTTATTCATTGCTACCTTGTTTCCTCACACTGGGAAGTATTCTTCAATTTATGTATGCATACGTGGAGATATGTTTGCTCGCGTGTGTGTGTAAGGCGACTTCTGAAAGTCTAAACTTGAACATAAACACCTTAATTGCGACTAATGTCCCCTTTTTTCTTCATCAACAGGGTTTTTTATTAAATTAAATCATTATATTAGGCAATGTAATTAGTAATTGCAATTTAATAAAGTGTAGATTGTCTAGGTTTTCTTTGCCTAATTATTTGATAATTGCGAGTTGGGACAGCGGAGCGCATACATACATACACGAACGAATACTGGATAGAGAATAGAAGAACAACTTAGGCAAAATTAAGTGAAACGATGCTGATGAAGATAAAGAAAGAGAAATAGCAACTCAGGACAAGCTGTGAGAAAAAAATTAAAGAAAGGAGGATAGAAAGAAATGAGATGAAGATGCAGTTATCGAGGACATAAACACAGACCTGTGTCAAAGTTCAAATGAACAATTATCACCGGATAATGTGGAGTCAACTGAGAAGAAAGATACTTTCAAAAAGAAGTAAATAAATGAAAAATTTTAAAGGTTTGGAATACAGTCATCACAGATTAATACATTTTAAATTTTGCTTAAATATAGAAAAGCTAGTTTTGGAATGACTCATTTCGAGAATGATAAGTTCTTTGAACTACATAATATCCTTGAGAACCATTGTGATGCTGAAAAATACACTGTGCTTCAGGAATTTAGGCATTTTTAAAGTTTTAAATTGATAGTTATTGGAGAACAGCAGAAAAACAAAAGATATTAAGTAGGTCTCTGATCGATTCCGGAGATATCAACCACTAGGTGTTGAAATGATTCATATATTTCCTACCAACTGATTACGATATTAAGTTTGGATGCTGAATTGGTTGTTGTTGCTTGATATTAAAATGGTACCGTCGCTCTTTTTATCTTAAATCACCTAGAATACTTTAGTTGTCCTTGGGATGAAAAGTCTTAAGCAGATGCTTTACTAACTGCCTGGACTGATATTGACATTTGAAGACTAACCGGTAATTCATGAATTCAGATAAGCGTCATGCTATTCGACTTAAGCAACTTGACCACATTCTAAAAATTTAAACAGTATCTTCATCTTACAACTTAGAGCAAACGTATGAGGGTTTCCTTAGTTATTTTACGTTACATATACGAAAAACTAATTTCAAGCTAATGATAAAGAAGACGACCTACTGAAAGACTTGTCATCTGTTAATCGTTGTTCAATAATTGCTTAACTTTTTATATACAACATCAAATGTCAACAGAAAATGTCATTTGATAAACAGGATATGAGGAAACTACAACGAAGAAAATTTTCTTCCTGACGTTTTCTCTTTCTAAAGCTGTTCCTGGATATGCTACTAGATAGGAGATCGGATAGTTTTATTCAAAGATCAATTCACAGGAAATCAGCATGGACAGGAAAGTTCATGTTTCGAGAACTATGTCCCTCTCGTTAGTAAACAGAACCTTGTACTTTTGTTATCTACAAGAAGTCAGAAGTTCTGTTTTAAAAATACACCGGTTAATGAGCCAAAATTTTGCATAACATCCCACTAGAAATGGATGCCCATATAAATTAATTGACTGTAGCATGAAAGAAAAGCCACAAATACAAAATTTATTGACATTCCCGAAGAAAACTCTTCATAAGAACTTGGAACTCAAAGGTTACATTACGGATGAAATCCTAAAACGTCACCTATATATGTCTTTGAAGATGATATTTCACGCAGGTAGCTTGAGAATAACATTCTGCAGTAAGTAACTAATCCATCATTGCGTTGAGGAGTAACAAACGCTTTTGGCCACCTCATGTGCATCTCTTTAACTTGTCCTTGTGGTGAAAAAACCTATTGGCAGTACAAAAAGTCGGGTTCGTAAATGGATTTCGGAACAGTGTCTAGCTTAGTTGTTCAGAGGATAGAGGGGAAATGTTGCCGACTTTATTCTCAAATATATTGTAATCCCCAGACATCTGACCTCTTATAGTAGCTCCTTTAAAGTATTTCGCCAAGAAGTTGCAAACCACCTGTTGCCGTTTCATTAACCAGCTGACAACAATCTTTGCTCAGACCACCCTCTCGTTAGCCTGGGGTTGAGTTCACTAGCTGCATATTGCAATAAATTCGTTTTGTGGGGTTGAATCGCTTAATACAGTTAAATCTATTTCACTATTTAATGGCCTGTAAACCTAGGGGATATTAAATCCAGGGGTTCAGTAAAACGAGATAAGAATCTATCTAGTAAGAGTCAGAGAGATCCTCAACACTTCCTAGGAAGAAAAAAGAGTAAGTTGACTCAATCTAATTGCACCGTCTCATCAGCCGACGGGAAGTGATCTAATAACATGGACTAATTCCTCCTGTTTAACTCTTCTTCACGGCATTTCATTCAGAAGGGAGTAAACAAGTTCAAAAACAACTGTCAAATCATATACATCTAGAAATTTATTCCAAGCTGTAGTAGAACTCTTTACTGTAACATATACTACTTGCACCTTCTATCTGTACTCTTTACAACAAATAGGATCTAGACACTACCGTCATTTTCAAGCATTATTATGCGTCTTTAACCTACTAATGCGATCCTGAAGTTACAAAGTTGTGACTCTACTAATGCAGAGGTTTTGTCCTCTAGGATAAATGAATAAAATTTATTTGAAACTTCTCCCAGCAATAAAACTGCATCATAGTCCACTTTATCAGATAAACTGAAATAACTGCAAATGAATGAAATTCAGGTGTGATAATAAATCAGAAGATCGGAGAAAGAATTGCGTGAAGTTTTAAATAGTAGTGCGAAGACTTATCAAGATTGAAACACTATTAGGCTTCGCAGTTAAAGGATGTAATATAATTAAAATCCCCGTTGAGAATAAGGAGAAATCAAAATCTTTAAGGTAGAAGAAAGTGATGTATGAGAAGACATGATATGCTAGTTAGCATGTAAAAGAAAAGATTTTGAGGGTAAAATGTTCCTACAGACTATTTCTATTGCCACTCGAGTGACTCAAACAAACTTCTCTGAATTCAGATTTCAGGCTTCAAAATATTAACTACCATGGCTTCTGCAACTTGGAGAAGTTTCAGGCGTACAACTTTCATGAGGCTTGAAAAAACTCTATAAATGACACTTAAGTTGTTCCCTGCATTTACCCGGTGCTCATAATCGATTAAACGTTCCAAAATAAAGCTGCAAAGTGGTGTCCTTTCTTGTTTGTGAAACCTAGCCGCCATATGTCTGAAAATGCATTTGGAAAGCAAATGCTGAGTACAGCCCATTTAACTTACTCCCCAGGAGCAGGTGAATTGATAAACACACATAGAGGTGACCAAGGGAGTTAATTAGCTTATCTTTTGAATATAGCTGAGGCATATGGTATAAAGTCACATTTTACCACAGTTCTCAGTGTCTGCGCTACTGCAGATATATTATATGACAGTACATATAGATAGTATTATTATCGATAAGAAAGGTAACTGAGATTGTACGAAACTTGAATTCTACAATATTCGAACCGGCTGCTTTCGGGTTCTTCCGTCAGAGCTACGAAATCTAGATTATATTCCAGTCTATATTTTGCTTTTATCACCTGTAACAGATATATATATATATATATATATATATATATATATATATATATATATATATAATATATAAATTGGTCACCTCTTTCTCTGTACAGTTGATAAAAATGATGAAGCATATAAAAATGATCAGCCAGTCTAGAAAAATCCTGCATCACTAATAAATATAACCAAACATCTCTTGGTTACCATTTCTTCAGTGGATTTGCAGAAATTTCGGAAACGTTTATCGTAAGAAAGTCAATTGTCTTAGGTTGTCAAGATTTACATTACTTTCAGATTAATATTCATCATAGACTGACATTAGGTGGGGAAATACTTGAAACCCGAGGGCTCGCTTTTTCCTAGTACGGGACTACTCAGCAGTGGGCAAGCGTAACCCCTACAGAGATAGAACCCAGAACCTTCAGGCCCCGTGGTCATCACATTACCATTCAGCCACTGTTAACTATTGAAGCCGATAGTAAGGATGGATTCTTAACGACTATTATAGTTACGGTATGTAAACCATATTGTTAAGGCTGCTAGAATATCAAAGTGATTAGGCGAAATCTCTGAAAAATACGTTCTTTGCTCTGTGGGGTTATATGTGAGTGCGGATAAACATTCACAAGCAGGAAAAATATCACCTGGTGGTCTCCAGTTTTAAGTGGTTAATATGAATGATTTGGGGAAGTAGCATTAACCTGTTACGCAGATACTCAACAATTACCATTTTCATGTTAAGACTAGGCATAATTCAAGCTGTATTACGATATCCGAAACTGTACTACTGTGCAAATATATGAGACTAGGCTTTAATATAAGATTTTAAGATTGTTATGATACTGAATTTAAAAGCGAAGTATCATGCAGTTGATCACACTCAAATATCATGGCTTATCATTTTGCTGAGATAAAGATTCTTTGAACTTACCAAATGTGGGATAATGTTGATTTTCGTTTTGAATTTTGAATGTTGATTGGGTATGACTTCAGGCATTTCTACCTTGGTTGGCTGCATATCATGATCCCTGTCATCATTATCAATGCTTAGTATACTCTTAGCATTACTACTACTGGTATCACCATCATTGCAATGTATTAAATTAACCGACTCAGGATTATCAGTTGTGCAACCATTCATCAATATATTATGTTGTATGGAAAATTTATTCATTGAATAATCGATAAGCGGAGTCAATAATTTAGTTATCGTTGTTGGCAGCTCCTCAATGGTACCCTCTGCATCGCCTAACTGCCAGCAGACATCGAAAGTTTCATCAGACTGATGAATAGATTCACTGGATTATTATGTTGTTGTTGTGTTTGTGAATTGTCATGTTCTGCACAGATTTGCTACAACGAAAAATAGAGTGGTTATGAAAAAATTCCAATACTTCTTTTGAAACAACTTCATGTATAAACTAAAGCAAGAGCAGAGGGAAGAATGAAAGAAGAAATAAGATAATATTTGATTTTCAAAGTGTTTTTCTTGGTTTCTATCAACCAATAAAACTTGTTGAATAATCGACAGCGATTAATGACTTTATCATATTCTGGATCTTTAGCATCTCTGAAGCTTTTCTGTAGGGAATCTAATCTTCTTAGTATATCACGATTTCAAATAATTCTACAGCTTTATGTTTGCCACTCCTAATTGTAGGATGAAGTTCATTCATCAAAGTAATATTGTTTAGGTTCAAGATACAGGTTTGTCATAACAAATATTCGTAAGCGTGGTACAAAAGCATAATCTTCACACAAGTGGACATTAGTATCAAATTAATGTATGTTATTCTATCAGTGTCACTTCGAAGCAGTCAGCGAACGGCCTATTAATAAGACTGTCGAATAAACTGCCAAATACCATAAATTTTTATTTTTGAGACCCTTCAAGGCTGCTGGGTGTTGAAGATTTGTTTTGCTGAAACATGTGAACAAGCACTAGTAATCGCTTACTTTCAACCATCTAATGTCGATCAAAGTAAAGTTTCAAGTCACCTGATTTATTATTAATGTTGAAATTTGCTAATGACAATGCAGTAGAATGTTGTAACCAGCATCTTAGTGGACGAAATGCCTTTTTTGTTTCACAGACAGTATTCATCACTGAGTCGCTGAGTTTGCTAGTAGTCTCTATGCAGTAACCGCTCAGGTTTTTGAAATGACACCACAACAACAGATTTATGTAGGAACAAGTGACCCTGTGATAGCTTTTATAACTCTATGTACTGAATTAATCCCAAAGTCATAATCTAAAAACTCATTCCTGATGTAAACAGACAATTTTTTGAGATAATGGAATATACCACTGATTAACAAACTTTGTGTTTAAAATTACTGAAATTGAATGTAATGATAAGATTCATAGAGGAACGATAACCTACGGCCTAATATTATGATTAAACTGTAAGGTAAACTAAAATTAAAACGACTAAATGACATTAAACAAATTATTTTATTACCGTTAATCCTTAATCATCGGGAAAACCGACAATTTTTATGCTTTTTATCGACCTGGCAGGAATTTTTAAGCAAGAAGTTATGGATATTCCCACAGCTTATATATATATATATATATATATATATATAGTTCAAAAATGGTCGGCTATTCTACTTCCCTATTATGAATAGTTAACTGGTGAAAACGGACACAGATACTCTACCACTGTTTCTTCATGTTCTATGTAATGTGCTTCAAGAATTCCTTTATCAGCCATATGTAACGTTTTTAACCGATATTTTGATAATACGTGATCTCCTACTGGTTTCATCAAATTAAGGCTATGCAGAATATTAAACACGGTCTAACTTTATACTGAGTGACCACATGCTACCTGAGGAATACCCCCAATCTAAATTTTCATGTTTGTCTGATTTCATCAGAAAGTAGCGTCTACAACCTCAAGGAAAGTAATTTCTTCTCATAGTTCCGAACCCCTATCACTAATTACTTCATTCAAAGACGTTATTACTGATCTAATTAAGTTGCACTAATATAGATATAGAATTTAGGCGCTATGACAGGATGTGATTCTACGTTAGGTTAGTCTATTTGACACATCACATAGTGATGTAGTAAAGTTTACTGGATGACATTTTGAGCAGAATTTATTGCTCATAATCATATGACATTCACACCCTCTGTAGGTGTGTATATGTGCCATAAGGGTTTATTTGTATATGTTTGAGTAAACGATCCCAAAAATGCATTATCATACTATCATTAAAATCATGGGTACTTTTTTTCTATTTCCTTATTACATTTATCACGTTGGCATCAAAAGTGTATCTGATTTTATTAAAAACATTGTCAGTCAGTGTTTCACTGGAAATTATGTTCATTTCTACTCATCAGTTTAGTAGCGGTTCTTTCACTTAAAGTATCTATAAAATTAGGTTGAATGATGTAAGTTTCCAGTTAACCACAAGATGACATAAAAGAATAGGTTGCAATAATGAAACTTTATTGTACACTGACAAGAACTGCAATATAAATTCTTGATGGTTCTTCAGTAAAGATTCTTGAAGAATCTCATTTATTTCGAGTAAAAGTACATTCACAGAAGATAAAATCAGCAAGGGAATTATACGTATCGCAGTTCTGATAAATTTCTATGGGGCATTCCTAATTCATACAACTGATTGATTTTTCTGGCTTAAGTTATCGAATGCAGCCTGAAATTATATTCTTACAATCCCATCATAACTGAGGTGTGGATTCACTTTACTAAAACTCGAAGGTTAAGTAACTCAAATGTAGGCACTGAATAATTTTGAATTTGATGATGATGGAAGTCAGTTAATGTAGTTAAAATGATCATTTCTAAATATTTCACTGTCAAATTATGGCTTGATTGACTAAGGAAAATAATATATTTGTCAGACATTTTATTCGGAAGTGCACTTATTTAGACCCAATGAAGCAGAAAGGCAAATTTTAAGAGAACCAACGTCAGATTAACTGTAGAATGTGACTTTTCATTCTGATTCGGTTTCTCATCCTTGCTATGTCTGTGGATAATGTATGGTTACTCAAATGACGCGGCGCTATCCGTAGTCATCATTCAACAAATTATGTTTAGTTTCTAGATCTTTTCAAAGTAACTCATTACTTACTAATAAAAAGGCGTTTGACTTGCAAGCTAATGCTATCACCATTTAATGAGCTAAAGCATAAAAATAATTAGGGTATCTCCAAATGAAACTGTGTTATGACGTTACTCACCTGTTTAATGATAGATTTTTGATGTTCGCGAGCATGCCAATGGCTGAGAGCACTTGTTAGGGACTTGAAGCGACTTATGTATTTTTGACAGGATTCATCAGAGAGTAGATTAAAATTTGTACTACTAGAAGAGGATGATGATGAGTAAATAGGTGTGGATAATTTTAGTGATAAATGCTTCTTGTGGCACACATAAATCACCTGTATATTTGTAAGAATTAATGATAACTGGACCAAGACTTTGCTAAACTTTGCTTGAAAATTTGATTTATTCATATCTTGAGAAACTGGAGAAGAGGAACTGCAGTTAGTTTGTATCTTATCACCACGATCTGTATGATTTTCATCCATCAGAGATTTCAATAAATCTACATAGAATAAGCTCAAAGATGTCAAAGTATGCCAAAGATGATTACGTCTACCAACCAAATGTATAAATACTTCTACGGCTGCAGCATGACTAACTGTTTGACAATGTAGTCGAAATTTATGCACAGAAGTTGTAAACAAGTCACAAGCAATGCAGTATAGTTGTATTGATGAGGTTAGACTGAAATTATTCCTAGCATTGTTATTATTATCATTACCATTGCTACTAACATTGCCACAGCTATTACTAATGGTATTATGGGTAGTGAGGTTAGACAATGCATTCGTTAATGACGTACTATGGTTTAATCCATTCAGAGATGGATATTTCGTGCTGTTATTATTATTGATGGTTAACATTTTGCTTTCCTGTATGTTTAATGCTGAAAGTATGCGCGACTGATTCCAAAGCCCACCTTCACAAACATGTACGAGGAAACTTAATCTTTGTGCATGTTTTTCTGTTTTGCAATGCAACTGAAAATTGGCCTTCAACGGGCTTTTATAAGAGCATAATTTACAAAACCAAAAGCCGTTTATATGAACACTTATTAAATTTGTGACGTAGTCCAAGTTAAACGGTGTACGGTTTCGTTCAGCGTGTTCAATCAACATATCTAAATTGTCCGTTGTAAATGTACAGCACACTTGACAAGCTAACGGATGATTCGATGTTTCAGTCAAGTTAGATGTTAGACTATCATTAGATGATGTTGATGGCATGAGTGTGTTTAATGTAACATCATGGTGCATAGGAAATGAGTTTGGAAGAAAGGAGGAAATGGAGGGTGAAGGATAGTTAAACTGTTGAATCATATCCTCATTATTAGATAAACCCAGTTCGTAAAGATTTCTGATAGTTTTGTTTGTTTCTGTGTTATCAAGAGTTTCATGCTCCTCATTTCTATTCTGAACTGAGTCAATGTTTTTATGGCTCAGTTTTATATTTTGTTGTAGTGTTTTCATGCCTTTTATTTCACTTAGTGAATGTGAAGCAAGGAACTTTAAATCGCTTAATGAATATGATTTCTTACTTGTTAAATTTAAATGGTGACGATTTTGATTAAGGTTATGTTGTTGTTGTTCCTGTTGATAGCGGTTATAATCAGGACTTCCCGTATGGTTACTTCTGATGTCAACAGAACTAAATATTGTTTGCGACACGGTCTGTTCATGTTCCTGTAATATTAAAGAAACAGAAAACCATGCAAGTCAATCACCTCCTATGAATATAATATAGGTTAACACCTTTGAATGATTTTTATCCCAGATATGCGTTCAGACAAATGTCGCTTGGCGCGAGACTGGTAATGTGATGATGGGTGTTCCAAATTCATGTCAGCAACTACTCTCGATGGAGCCTCAGACAAATTAATTAGTAGTATGTAAAGTATTAGAAAGGGACCGAGATGCCTTGTGTGTTGTGTAAACCGAAGAACGGCCAGTAATTGACAACTTCACCCAACAGTATACTCGTTTTTCTGAAGGTCTGACACACTAATTTACTCAGCTAAGCTGCTCAGTAAAAGTTTGTCATAAATTGAAATTAGAAGTCTTATCTACCATTTCAAAATAAAGTGTCTCATGATGAAATAATTTGGAAGCAAAATGAATTATCCATACAGCATAACTTATAAAATGTTTCTGGAAGCTGGGATTAGTTTACTTCCTCGTATAAAAGTGATATAAAAAAATCCCATGTAACTCTAAATTCCATGAAATTATGATTTCAAAATAAATTTATTATGAGCATACTATATGAATATCATAATTTTTGAGAGAATCTATGAGTTATGTCACTTATGTACATGTGAATAAAAAGACATTTTACTTTCTGGTCTCGATAATATGCAATCTCCCGTTGCTATACTGAGTCGGACTACTCTACATCTGTTGGGAGATAGACTCCTGTGAGGACCATTCGATACTGCCTGCCTACTCATCATGTTGGCATCTGCTTGGAGGTTATCAGTGGAATCTAGAATGTACGTCTCGTCCTATTTGGGACTCGTTAACTGGACGTGCCTACACTCCAGCGTTTGTTGTTCCCATTGAAACTCGAACCCAGTACCCTCGCTCTAAACACCAAAGAGCTATCCACTAGGTCACCGGTGCACAAGATTCATCTCTTGTGCAGCGGACGTCAGAGGTTAAGCAATTTCACCCTGTGTAACAACGGGAAATTACAAGCATTAGAAGGAACAACTGATACTCGTTGCACAAGAGGTGGCTTTCGTGTCCTGATGGATAACGTTTTGGCGTTTGAAGCGATGGGTACTGGGTTCGAATCTCAGTGGGAACAAGATTACTCACTGGGATGCGGGTGCACCCAGCTGACGAATCCCAAATAGGATGAAACATGCATTCAAGGTTCAAGTGATAGCCATCAAGCAGACATCAGCATTTCACTTTCATTTTACCTCTATAACCATTGGCTTTAATGCTGACATGCAGTTTCTATGTTTATCAGTTTATCCACAACATTCATAGTATATGATCTCAATTCGGTTTTTGGAATAACGCAGTATTTTAAAAGCTGGATGTAATGATGTATGCTCGAGAAGCTACTCAGGAGACCTTTACAAATTCAGTTATCAAGTTAGATTTTAGTGAGACATCAGTCTGGCGAATAGTTGTGAATCACTTGATAACCGTTTTAACTCACGAATATTCACTTCTTGTTGTTAGTACATTGCGGCATAAATAACATAGAGGTGATCATTCTTTTACTACAGTATATTAGAGACAAAAACAAATAACTCCACGAATGGACTGTCAAGCAAATGTTTTTCCTACATTATGAAATTCTTTCTTTTTCTGGTCAGCGAAATTCTAATGCTGATTAATCAAGTTATGTGTTGAACAGTTCTGAAAGATGTCAATAAAATGCGAAATAAATCCCTCGGATTTTGTTCATTATGTAGTGAGGCAAAATTAAAAACCGCACACGAAACTACTGTTATATCTGGAACGGTTCTTACCGTGAGACATATATCATATAGTCTATTATTTACTAAGTAGTAAAGTGTAGTAAACGTAATGAACCTACTGTATATGATAATGGACATTCAATTATTATCGGAACAGCAAAGGATAAGGATAACTTGTTCAGCTTCTTCAGGGTCTAATGCATATTAGGAGACAAGGAGTATTCATAAAACGAAATGATAAAACTACAAAATAGATACTTTCACAGTGAACAACTTGCCTGAAGATTGTTTAAATGTTTATCTGATTGTTGGTGTATAGCTAAATTTCCTTTAGTTGTTGTAGAATAATTGCATATTTCACATCGATACGGTTTATAACCACAAATGTAGGTCTCACCACGTCCTAATCGTGGATGCACAGCTTTTGTAATACAATAAAGACACGAACTGGAGGGTGAAGCACTCCCTTCATTATTTTGTGGCTGCTGGTGTTGTTTGAGCATAGTCGAATATTTTATTCGATCTGAGGAATGTGATGTAGAATGTTTGGTAAATGACACGTTATGAAATGCTTTATTCATAGATTTGGGCTTTCGATTGACTTCAGACTACCTTGACTTCAGTTCAGTCAGTTTCCACAAACTGTTTACACAACAGTATAAGTAGCTTAATCACAAACTGAAATGTTTGTTGATAGTTATGTTGAATGATGTTATCTGTAAAAGAAAGAAGATACATCGTCATTGGTGTATTTTAAATTAAAAGATTGATAAAAACGGCTAGTTAAGTTTCTAACAAATGAGTTTTACAATAAACTCAAACAAATAGTTATCCAACAAAAGATTTGTGTTGCTAGTCAATGCAGGAATTTCTAATAAAATGTGATTTCGGAAAAGGGACTTTCCAATACTTTCTTTCTTACAGACGGCTAAACGATTAAAAAATATCAGTCACCACCCAAGTGAGTCAGCTATATTTTACATAAGATTAGGCTGTTCGAAATTTACCCTCTTTTGTACCTTGATTTCACGATGCTTTCACCTCCTAAACTCATTGTAACTACTTATTTATGCGCTGAATACTGTATAGTGCTGATTTCAGTCATTCTTAGTGCAAATTACGACGTCTACTTACTAAGCTGCACAAACGTAATTGAGGACCGGGTGTCTCAATTCAGATAACTATCGCAGCGCTTCTTTGTGAGAATTTAGCATCATCAGTGATATGATATCAATAGTTGATACATTCAATGAAATAGGCGTTTGTGTTTAGCCCAATTATTTAACTATAAAGACTAAATCAAATAGTTTTGCAAGTCATTTTAAAGCTATTCAGTTACAATTAGATTTTTCCGGACAGTTTTAGAACAGAATTCAATTATTTACAAAACTGCGGAGAATCGAGTAACGCTGAAAAAGCTGTACTGTTACGGCTGATGCTAACCCATGATAAAAACCATTTTGAAACCATTGATTTTTCGGGAGATGATCGGATGAAAAACTTCTTTTCATATTTTCATATAAAGTATACTGAATCAACGTGTCAAATATTCGGTTTTCAGATTACCTGCATTCCATCTATCGTGAATACTAACATGATAATTTTATAAAACATCCAACGAAAGATGACTGCAGTGGTATTTACATATCTATTCCACAAACAGTACAAAATACAAGACCAGTAAGGAAGTGCCTATTCTCAGAAAAAGTATACTTTGTTAATTTGGATCCCTTTATTTATTTGAAAATAACTCTTTCCATTACTATTTTACCAATATCTTTAGTTAAATTTCAGAAAATACCAGCACTTATAGATTGGGGAGACAAAAATTGTACTTCAGAATAAATTAAATTTAATTGACCCGTCGGTTTCTTCGTCATGCATGGTGCTATCTAGTGTTTTTGTCTCAACAACATGATTTTTGCATAATTAAGTATCCTTCTTTTGACCAAGTGAAAGGGAATTGAATGAAAAATTCATCTGTTTTAAAGAATAGTCTGGAAAAGTACAAGTGTTCCCCAATGATCACTTATATAACTTTTGCACCCCCCTTCCTCAAATGTAGAATTAACTAGTGTTTAAGGGAAAGTGGGTTGAGTGTATACATATGACTGAATAACTCGTCTAAGGGATTCATTGACTTCATACAACAGGCCCTGCACTAGTAATTATTGAGACTCTTAACATATATGTCCTTATATTTAGTGATATTAATTAAAATAAATTAATTTTCTTCTCAATGTGAATATCTTAGCACTGCATCATTTAATTAAAATATAAAAAAATATTAATTTACTTTAAAGGTTTTCTTTGAACTATATTTTAATATGTTGAGATAAAAATATCCTAACTTATGTAGGGTAGAGAGAATTCCCATGAGCTTACACTAAAAAGGAAATTTATAAGACTTCTGATATCAATTTTCACTGAATTCTTGTTTATAAGTTCGGTGAAATAAACGTGAAAAATAATCCGTGTTGTCACCGTTGCGTGGAGCAGAATAAAAAAGACAAAAGATATTCGATATTGACAATGAAAATAGGTGTCTTCATGTCATGAATTGGTTGAATTTGTAAATTCCATCTGTTGAACTCTGTTCCTATGATTCGACTTTTTGTAAGCCTCAGGTCTGTTTTTGCCAGAACTAGAACGTGAGAACTTCTGTACCTTTTAAGAATAGATTGAAATGTTTGTCAAATTTTTGCCAGTAGCTGTAATTTCTTCATAAATATCATACTACTATGAATATTATCTTCGTATGGCGAATCTTAATGTGGGTTTCATAACAGGTGAAGTTATAGTTGTGTTGCACTTCGAAATGCAGTAATTCTGACCTACAGTCCCGTCTTCATTTGCAATAAATAATGTCTCTCAAGATCGCGAACAGCTAAATTTCACCAATTACATTTTCAGCATTTCCACATATACTACCATACAACATGAGTAACAAGAAACCATTCACGATGATCTGTGGATTTATCCACCAAGACTAAAGTGATGTAAACACGGGACAACCTTTCCGCTAGTCTGGAGCCAATCTCATAGACAGTGTACCGGGACAGATTCAGTTCACTGAACTAAATGATTCCGACCAACTGAATCTGACCAGCTAACTTGAAGAGACTGGCGTACCTCAGATAGGCTGATCAGTCTGCGAGTGATTTACAAAGTTCATGGTCTAGTTGGTGTAAATAATTCGTTTATATGGGCTGAATTAGTCCGGAGATACTGCTGATGAGCTCAGTCTCAAACTAGCGAAACGGCTTTCCGGTATTTAAATCACTGTGATTTGGTTGGTTAAATCTATAGATCACCCTGAGTGGCTTCTTATTACTCAGAATGTTTAGTAGTATCTTTTACTATTTCATGACACTTTTGTGTCAGAAATCACACCTTGTGATCGTGGCTGGGTGGTTTTTAACTGAAATCCTGTCGATGCTGTGGGAAATGTCAACGTGGAAAACGCAGTTTATAAATAGTTCCCAAACTGTTCAAATGTTTTCACATCTGCTGAACTGGATCTGTATTATGGCGGAATTTGTCCGTGTAGTTATTTTCTGTTAAATATAAAAATTTCCGACAAGATCGTTATCAGACTTTCGTTTTCTAAAATATTTCGCAGTAGCATGATGTTTTCGCTTCAAGTCAAAACTACCTCTAATAATAACATTTTGAATGAGCCGTCCACGTCAGATTATGCAGAAAATGAAAGACACCATAGTTAAAAGATTCATCTGAAACAGTTTTCCATAAAAAGTCATATTTCTCTACGAACTATTTCAGAAACTGACGATGGTCTGTTTCACCAATTCGGAAGCCATGTAAATGTAAGAGAACTCTCATCAGCTGTTTGGTCATAATTTAGGAACCTGTTTTCGAAATTTCAGTTCTTGCAGTGAATACCGTAGTTATGGTGGCTTTACTATGGCATTCAGTGCACTGCTTATGAAGATGCAACGCCTTATAAAGCCTAATAATTACTAGTAGATAATTCCAGAAAAGAACGCTACATTGCAAGGAAAAGTCTTCCCTATGGACAAATACACAAAAAGAACAGACTTTTAAACCCAATTTTTATACTAATAACTTAGTTCCTGTTTCCGCTATCCACTGAACTTTCTTGTATTATCAGACTGTACAATCTTATTTTGATCACCGCCGTTTCATGCCAAATGTCTGAAAACATACGAATCACTTGTCCATATGACTTGTTAAACTATGTACTAGTAAACTGAGTAAAAATGTCTAAACCGTGCAAATATGAATTTAAAGGTGTTGTCTTACTCAAGAGAGTGGGTCATGCTTGAAATAAGACTGAGAATGGCATGGATAATTTATGGGTGCACATAACATGAAAATGACACCAATAATTTTGAACATGGTAAACTAATTGGCTGTAAGACAGTAAGCAACGTGGTTCATTGTGTCTTCTACTGGTGAATGATATCCATCAGTCGAATTCAAATAGTCAACATGAAGTTAAGTGAACCAATATCACGATATGCTGAAATGAACAGAAGGCTGTTGGATTCATTTAATTTAGGACTTTAGCGTGTGTCTTTGTCTGCCACCTTGATATGCAGATTTATCTTAAAATTTACAAACTTGGGTCGGCCACAAGTATAGTCAGAGATGGTACCAATAAATTAAGCAGTGATCTCCCCTAGTTCATTAATGATTAATCAGTATGTTTCCGTCCAGTGAAATTGTAAAACTTTACATGAAGCACATGCTTCACCATCAGTAATCCTTCGAATGAAAATGCAGTACCGTCGCTGTTATTCTATCACAGAATAATCAGTGTTATTAATGAGCATAGTTAAGATAATTTCCTCGGTATGATCTATTACAATTTGGAAGTTTTACAGAAATATACGTCAGTAAAAATCAGGTCATCAAAAGTTATTCATTTCAGCCTATAGATCAAGTGAATAGCATTTCATAAATCTTCTTACTTTCACAAGTGATTCATAATTAGTGAACTAAATAATGGGTAGATGTTTTGATAATTGTAATTTCCCGTTGCTGTTTAGGGTCGAATCACTCGACCTTTGGGTGCCACTGCTAGTCATCAAGATAAATATAATGAGTGGATGTATTATGCTGTGCAAAAATGTAACCAAATTAAATGAGTTGAAAGTTAGTACGTTATATGGCAGGCAGTATAAGAATTTCTCATTGTAAGAAGAGTATAAACAATTTGCCTCTTTTTAGGGCAACATGAATGCAAATGATTTGACCATAATTACAATAAAAAGAACTACAGGATTCCAGTCAAATTTCTTTCCAGGTTATAGGATTGCTTTTTAAATTACTTCATTAGATTGTGATTATCTGACTGTACGCAAAAACATAGTTGATTAACTGCCACACTAAATACAACAAGATGCATAAAAAGAAGAGACTGTTTTCAGTGTAACAGCCGTTTCACGGCAAACTTAACTAATTTTCTCCATTTAAAAGTAATTAAGATTTGATTTTACATGTTATGCGGTTTAATTTATCATGACGTTGTCATTCATTATACAGGTCTGTCTTTCAGTGTCTCTTTTGGTTATGACATAAATTAGGGTAAACGTCA